TTGATTATCCTGTCGAGGGTCCCGAATGTACTAAGCGGTTGTTTTCCCTCACCCAGGGCTCTCGGTCTGTGGCGGAATTCTCTATTGAGTTCCGCACAGTGGCGACCGAGAGTGGGTGGGGGGAACTAGCGTTAAAGGGTGTATTCTCTCGTGGTCTGTTCGAACAGCGAAAGGATGAATTCGCTGCTCGTGACGAACCCTCCTCACTTGAGGAGCTAATCGCTTTAGCCATCCGGTTAGACAGTCACCTCAGGGAGAGACTGAGGGAAAAGAAATAAAATTCCCCTACCCGTAGCGTAGACTCCCCATCCTCTTTCGCAGTCAGTGGGTCTCCTCTGCAGCCCTCAGTTCCTCTGGCTCCGGTGCTCTCTGCCGGAGAACCCCTGCAAATCAGCCACACCTCCTCTACCTCCCGCTCTCCCAGGCGTATCACCATCCCTGCCTGTCTCCTTTGGGGAAAAGAATCCACGTCCCTCCAAACCCTCATTGACTCTGGGGCGGATGACAACTTTATTCATGCCGGACTGGCAGCGCAGCTACAGCTCCCCCTGGAGGCACTCCCTGCCCCCCGTAAGGTCACCGCTTTCGATGGCAGGGTTATAGCCACCATAACCCACTGCACTACTCCTCTCACCCTCATCCTCTCGGGAAACCATTGTGAGGACAACCGGTTGTTCCTGCTTCCCTCTCCGCACTCACCCCTTGTGCTTGGACTCCCGTGGCTGCAGATCCACAACCCCCAAATCAACTGGTCCACAGCTTCGATCTCCGCCTGGAGTCCTCACTGCCACTGTGCTGAGGCTGTGCCTCTCACCCGTCTCACATCCCTTAAAGTCCCATTCTCCTGGACCCCTGAGGCAGACGCCACCTTTCATCAACTCAAGTCCCAATTCATCTCCGCCCTGGTGCTCAAACATCCAGATCCCTCTCTCCAATTTGTGGTGGAGGTCGACGCTTCAGACTCTGGAGTGGGGGCCGTCCTCTCACAGTGGGATTCCAAGACCCAGAAGCTCCATTCTTGCGCCTACTTCTCCCGGAAACTCTCACCCACCGAGCGCGATTACGACGGGGGAAACCTCGAGTTGCTGGCTGTTGTGTGGGCACTCCAAGAATGGAGACACTGGCTGGAAGGAGCACAACACCCCTTCCTCATCTGGACTGACCACAAGAACCTGCAATATCTCAGTTCTGCTTGACGCCTCAACTCCAGGCAAGCCCGCTACTCCCTCTTCCTCAGCAGGTTCTGCTTCACCCTCTCCTATCGTCCCGGCTCCCACAACCTCAAACCTGACGCCCTATCTCGGATCCACTCCTCGGCTACCTCAGACCCCAGAGAACCGGACACCATCCTCCCTGCCTCCTGTGTCTTCGGCTCTGCCTCTTGGGAAATCGACACTATTGTGGACAAGGCCCTCCTGACAGAAAGATCATCCCTGAGGTTGCACCCTCCGTAAACACCCAGACCCTGGAACCGGCCCTCCTGACAGAAAGTTCGTCCATGAGGTTGCACGTTCCCAGGTCCTACAGTGGGGGCACTCCTCCAAACTCACCTGCCACCCCGGATTTCAGCGCACCCTCCAATTCCTTCAGCAGCAGTTCTGGTGGCCGGGGATGGTCCAGGAAGTACAGGCGTTTGTTGCTGCCTGCTCCGTCTGTGCCCGAGGCAAAGCTTCCCATCAACCTCCGGCTGGCTTGCTGCTTCCTCTGCCTGTGCCCTCACGCCCCTGGTCTCACATAGTTCTAGAGTTCGTCACTGGTCTCCCCCCTTCTGAAGGTAACACAGTCATACTCACCATCATAGACAGATTTTCCAAATTCATGCATTATGTCCCATTACCCAAGCTCCCGTCTGCTCTAGAAACTGCTAATCTCCTAGTGTCTCATGTGTTCCAACTTCATGGAATCCCCATTGACATAGTGTCAGATCATGGTCCCCGGTTCTCCACCCAGGTCTGGAGAGCTTTCTGCCAGGCAGTGGGCGTGGCAGCTAGCCTCTCCTCAGGCTACCACCTGCAGACCAACTGCCAGATGGAGCAGGCCAATCAAAACCTTGAGTCTGCTTTGCGGTGTGTGGCGGCCCATCATCCAGCGTCCTGGAGTACTCACCTCCCGTGGATCCAGTACGCCCATAACTCCCTCACCTCCTTGGCCACAGGTATGTCTCCCTTCATGTGCTATTTTGGGTACCAGCCCCCCCTGTTTCCCGAACAGGAGCATCCAGTGGCCGTCCCGTTGGTGAGGGAGCACATTGGGCATCTACGGGAGGTGTGGAGATCTGCCAGGGCCGCACTCACCCACATGGCCGAGCACAACAAACGCCTGGCTGATGTTCACCACTCTCCAGCACCAGACTATCGTCCCAGTCAGATGGTCTGGTTATCGTTCAGTGACCTTCCCCTGCAGACCGAGTCCCACAAGCTGTCCCCCCACTTCATTGGTCCCTCCCCTATCCAGAAAATTATCAACCCATCAGCGGTAAGACTGAAACTTCCCTCATCTCTCAAAATTCACCCCACGTTTCATGTCTCCCTGATAAAGCCTGTCACCTTGTGCACCCTGAGCCCTCCTTCCATTGCACCCCCCCACCCCACCCCCGTTGATCGACGACCACCCTGCCTTCACTGTGGGACGAATCCTGGACGTGCGGCCTCTGGGTCGAGGCTTCCAATACCTCGTGGATTGGGAGGGTTACGGGCCAGAGGAGTGGTCATGGATCTCCCGCTCCCTCATCCTGGACCACCAACTCATCGACGACTTCTGCGCTGCTCACCCCAACAAACCCGGCTGAACGCCAAGAGGCGTTCATTGAGAGGGGGTATTGTGGTGAGATGCCTCCTCCTCTTGTTTTATTTTGGTTGGACTTCCTGTTTTTCTTTGTTTTCCTGGTCTGGCTTGACTCTGTTCCATAGCACCCTCCCCCTCCCCGGTTGCTGAGGCTGAGTGAGACTCCACACCTGCACTGCATCTGCAATCAAGGCCCTTTTAAGAAGCCAGCAGCCCTCAGTCTCAGCGCCTGAGTATTGTCTTCACTTCTCAGTGGTGCAGACGCTTCTCCTGGCCTTCTCTTGGATAAGTGCTTGTGACTTTTTTTGCTCCCTGTGAATTTTTGCATGTTTTTCTCACTCCCATCTCCTCTGTTTTTTCCACAGTGTCTCCAGCCCAAACAACAGCCAGCCAGCAAACCAGACTTTTCCCTCGTGCCTTTTTTCCCCTGAGTTGGACATTAAAATTACACTTTTAATTTGCTATCTGCCTCTGTGTCTGCTTCTGGGTCCACAAACACCACACGCCACAGATTTACACCTCTTTTTCATCACTTCCATCTCTTGCTGTACATGCTCAGTGCATGTTAACAGACTGGCATGAAATTCTCTCTCATTCACTGAGTATGCAGTTGGCTGAGTTGGTGCACAAAGCATGCTGGGATATCTGGCAGTGCAGCCAAAGCTGGCAGCTCACTGAAAGGACAGAAAGATAATGAGAATTGAAAAGTCAATCACATGGAGACAGCCAATCAAGAAGCAGCTCTGCTCTCGCAGCTCTGTCTCAGGACAGCTGCAACCAGGAAGTGTTTTTACCGAGTGTCAGAGTTGATCACACTTTTGTTGGTCATGCTTGTGAAAGAAGCAGTGTTTCTGACTGTTCAGCTGTTATTAGCAGCTAAGGTGTGAGCAGTAACTTGCATTTCACAAGAATCCAAAACATCCAAGTTACCCTCTTAGTAGTTTCTGTCATCATCATCCAGCAGACAGAAACAGGGTCTGTTGTGTTTTATACGATTTAAAAATATCTCATTCTAAACGGTGTAAGACAACATGTTTAAAGCTGAAACTGAACATTGTGATGTTTTATATTTCAAGATAAATGCCAACAACAAAAAGTTGTTGCAGGAGCAAGAACACTGTTAAAAATTAACACGGAGGAGCATCGGCAACTAATGAGGTGAATGTCCAACAGCTTGGGAACATGACCGGGTATAAAAAGGACATTCAGAGAGGCTGAGTCTGTCAGAGGTTCACCACTCTGTGGGAGACTGTGTGAGCTAATAGTTGAACAGTTTCAGAATTATGTTCCAGTGTGAAAGAATGAGTGGATTTCATCATCTACAGTTCATAATATCAATAAGGGATTAAGAGAATCTGTAGAAATCTCTATACTGAAGGGACAAGGACCAAAACCAAGACTGGATGGTCCTGATCTTCAAGCCCTCAGGCAGCCCTGCATTAAAAACAGACAGGACTCTGGAGTGGAAATCACTGCATGGGCTCAAAATTACGACAAAAACCAACCAGTTCATCATTGCATCCACAAATAAGGTTAAACAAGAACCAGATTGAAACAGGTTCCAGAAACACCAGAGACTTCTCTGGACCTGAGCCATTTAAGGTGGACTGAGAAGAAGAGGAAAACTGTTGTTTAGTCTAAGACATTATGAAAAGCACTTTGAAAATCATGGATGGAGACCCCAAAGTGTTGAGCAGCTGAATCATCAAGCAGGACTGGGACAATATTTTTCTTTCAAACTCCAGAAACTGGTCTCCAAGGTTTCTGGGTCTCCTGGGTTCAAAGGTTTACAGAGACCTGATGACTCACAGTGAAAACAAGAGATTGTGACAACTTTCCTGGAACATTTTGCTGGCATCAAATTAAAACGAGCATTATATGTTTATGAAATGAGCTTTTATCTTACTTGATTAGGTGTCTGCTCTTTTTTCACTGAAAAACAAGTCTTTTATGATTTAAAACCTAAAAAGTGAACCTTTAGCTCCATTCCAGTGCAGGTTAGAGATGGAGAGTGTATCTGTAGACAGAAAGCCAATGGGTGAGGGAGGGGGAGGGACATGAGGGAGTGTGCGTTTGGACGGATTGTGTGGATATGTTTGTGTGTGCGCGCAAAAAGAGAGGGAGAGAGAAAAGAGGGAGGGAGGGCGTCCTTTCTACGGCGGACCTGTCACACACAATATTTAGCATGAAGTCACCCCCCCCCCCTTTCGCCCCCACCCTCCTTCCCTCCACACCTCCACCCCTATACTTTGTGTGGGGATCAAGCCTCACTCCTCGACAGCCTTCATGTCTGACAGCACAGAGGGAGGAAGAAGACGAGGAAAGGGGAAACTGACTGACTGACTCCCGAGGCTTTTTCTGACTTTTTGACGCACCGGGGAACTTTTTGTCCATGTCACCAGAAAACCTGAGGCCAACACACCCATCAGCCTGCAGCCGCGCTCCCTACCTTTGCCACGGATTAATTTAACCAGACCGGGACTCCATGTAAGTTCAGATAGCAGCCCCCCCCCCCCTCTCCTTTTTGATCTGTGTGCGTCTGGGAGCCATCCAGCGCAGTTTGATTTGTGCGTAAAAGCTTAAAGAATCAAAGCAAGGATTCAACTACCTCTCTTCTGAGATACATGTCTCAGCTATGAGCACAATCAGTGCAAGAGTATTTCTACCTAGATTGAAATAAGCAGGTTGGGCTTTAAACGGCTTAAAATACTGAAAAGATAGCGACGGGAGTTTGTTGTAGGGGTTTTGCGTCGATGGACCAGGTTATGATGCTGAATGCCACACAGAGATTTGAGACAGTTTTAGCTTTAAAAAAATCCAACTTTATCAGGAGATGAGCCTTTCAATGAGTGCAGCATGTTTCAAAGTCAAACATATTTGTTCAAAATAAAAGAGTATGATCAAAAGAGAAACACCCTCTTCACCGAGGCTCCATGCCACGTTGGCCTAGCGCAGCTTGACTGGTTTCTAGTTGGCACCAGCTGTGTTTTGATGATCACCACCACCATCCAAGTTATCCTTAAACGACAGATAATCTGTGTCCGTGTTTGAGATTTTTGGAGGGAGAAAATGTTCGGGTCAAGCAGGGCTTCTACGCCAAAAACGCCCTTTATTTTTTCCAGTAGTAAAAGATTAAAATTGTCCCGATCCAAAGTTGGTTTGTTTCCTCTAAACTATAAAAGACGGCAGAGGCGGACGTTGTGAAAATATTTGTGAGGTCAAAATATTTGGGGATGTTAGGGAAATTGATAGGTGGCAGGTGGCTGCCGGGGCCACAGGAGAGCGCGGACAGAAAAAAAGAGCCGTACCCCCCCCCCCCCCCCCTGCACACACTCACAGACACACAAACAAACACACCAAAAAAAAAAAAAAAGAACCCACTGGGATACTCTCAACGTGCACACATACCCACAAATTCAGTCCACTCCGTGCCTAAATGATTATTATTATTACAAACTTCATGATCCAAAAATATCAGGATTTAAAATAACTGATATCTACAGGAGTGCATTTTCAAATCTTGACCTTGAATATGAAAAAAAAACCAAAACAGAATAAACATAGCTAAATACAGAGGGAATATTTAAAAAGGAAGAGAAGTTCAGCTTTCTCTGAAACGGTCCAAAATGTCAATGATTCTCGTGGCGTGAGGCCTGATTTTATTTTTATTATTATTACTTTTTTGGTCTCACCTTCCCTCCGTCCATATAGATGCATGAATCGCAGTTCTATCGATTTTTAAGTTGTAATGTCATTTTTAATTCAGAGTTGACAACACACGGGCTGTTACAGGACATTTTAGGATTATATCTGAATTTTTATTTTAAAATTTAGAATAAAAGCAAAATACGCACTTTCCAGGCCCATGCTGCGGCACGGCTGACCAAATCATTGATGTTCGATTTTGTAGCATTTTTGTTTTCGCTTAATCATATTTAATTATTTTAAATTGTTTGTAATCAAGTATTGAAACGCGCATGCAGATATGCTCCTATAAGATGAGCGCGTTAGGTTTCCTCCAGCAGGCCTTTGGAAAGCCTCTTTTGCATCAGTCTCGGGTCTGCACATATGGAAATCTCATTTGTTTATATCGAGGTTCTCGTTTGGCCTCCGGCTCTAATGTAAATGTTTGTCGCTTATTAGCCTTCCAAAACGAGGAGGCCAGTCTAAAGGCATGCCCGGCCTACTCAACCCAGAATTTATCACCTAAAGACTAAACCAGAGAGTGTGTCTTTGGTCTGAAATTTATCTCAATATTAATTTCAATTAACAACAACAACAACAACAACAACAACAACAAAATAGTGAAGCTTTTTTCCCTCTTTAACGAAAATCAAGAGGCGTCAACACAAATGTGGTGAGGAAACGCATTTCGATAAAGAAACAGAAGAAATGTGGCTTTGATTGTGTTTGCAGAAATATGTCCTAAAACACAAGGAAACACATCGATGATCAATTGACGCTCTTCAAATCAAAATAAAAACAGACAGTCATAATTCATCTGCCCAGTGAACCTTGTTCTTACTTGTGTGGTTCAATCATAGTGACAAAGGGAATGTGTTTAAACAGCTCAGAATATAAATGTAGGTTCTTTTTGGCTCATCGCCATCATTTCAGTGTTTTCATCTGAAGCTCAAAACCAAGAAAGAAAAGGTTCAGCATATGAGAGCTTTTTTTTTACTCTACAATATTTTAAAATAGCGCCAGGATGGACCGCTGACAAACACATTCTCCTTCTCTCCGGTGAACTCCATCTTTTTAAAAAGAGTGAGTTCATTTTTTCTCTCATCATTTCTCGTTGATTAAGAAGGACCCGGATGTTTCCCTCTCTCGGGCACATTAGAGGAGTGTGTTTTTAATCCACCATAATAGCTGCTCTCTGCACAGTGTGTTAATCACTGTCCTGGACTTGTGTTGCTTTGCCAATTATTCCTGCGCTCTCTGCGCGCGGACAGAGTCAGTGCTGCAGGAGCGCGCGGCCTCACTCCCTCAATCATATGCAAATGTCTGTTATAGGAGGGCAGAAATTAACATCTACAAACATTGGACTGAAATTCCATCTGCCGCCTCTTCGAGGAGGCCCTTAATAAGTTCTCAGACAGCAAAGTGACACACATCTTAATCAACTCTTAATCCCAGGAATTAATTCTCTGCGCGTTTATGAATAATTCCCGGAGTAATGCGGCAGTCCGTGGAAATGTAAGCAGGCTGCCGCGCGCACTGCCAGATGGACCCGCGCAATCTCTGGAAAAATTAGAGGATTTTTTCTCCTCCATTATTATTTTTTATCATTATGAGCAGATATATATTTTAATGAGATCCCTGTCACCGGGCGCCTGCTTATGCAAAGCGCTTTAGCTAATGCAAACCGGGGAGTCACGCCTGGATGTTGATTTGCGTCCAATTTCTGAACAGTAGGCCTGGAGCATTTAGAGTAAACACGCAGCACCATCAGGGTCGTGTTTTGGGGTGTGTTTCCGCGGAAAGAGGCGGTGGGACAGCGTGTCAGGTGGAGGCGCACAAGTGAGGCAGACTGAGCTCTGTGGTAGAGGTGGAGAAGGGATCAATATTTTCTTTACTTTGATGAACTTCGCACAGAGCATAGCTGTCCCTTTATCCGTATACCAGCGGTGGAAACAACGAACAGCTGCTTGGTCAAAGTACTGGAGTTCTTTCATGCTTCTAAAAATAAGTCAGTAAGCAAAGTACTTTTTTTGAAAATCGCAGAGCATTGCTGTATTTTTTCCCCGAAAGCATGAAGATATTCTTTATTTAAAAATATATAAATCATCCTTCTCTGCTGCAGAAATTATAACCTCCACTTCATGAACTCTATGTGGGCTCCACATTCAACCATGGACATAAGTGAAAGTCAAGTATGAAAACACCAGCCACAGCTGATTTTCTTTGTGATGGCATTTCTTTAGAGATAGAAAATTCATTAGCTGACTTCAGAGTGAGGAGAACATCTGTAGACATTTAGAGGGGTCAAAAGTGTGATCTTATTTTTTTCAAATGGCGTTCAAGTTTTTTTTTTAACCCAGAAATGAAGACTCATGGGGTGAAGTAGCTTACACAGACTCTAACATGAACAAAGGTGTAGCGCTTAGGTAAACTCACTTGGTGACCTCTGGTTAGACAGTGATTCATATGCCCATGCTCCTGTCTGCTTGTTAGCTCAGTGTTAGCTTGTTGGTCATGATGAGCTTAAAGGTAGGGGGGGCTCATTTGGGAAACATAATCATGTGGCGCCCCTGTTGTATGTCTATGTGGGGGAGAGGGAGGGGGGTTACTGACACCTTGTTCTGGACAAAATGACTGGCTTGCATCACCCGCACGCCCCTCACTGCCAAAGCCAGCCGGCCTCTCAGCACCACATCGACACCGGGCCGCCGCTCCATCCATCACTGCCACAGAGGATCAAGTCTCCCCTGACTGGCTCGTGTTCATATTTCTGACCAAAATACAAGACCTCAGTGCGACCAAACTTCACAAAGAGACAGTTGTTGATCTGTCAGGCAGGCTAGGACCCTGACTGACCCGGTCCAACAGCCAGGGACATGTTAAGGGAGGGTCTCTGATTTGAAAACCTTTTTTAAAACAGCTCAGCAACAAAGGTATAATAATAACAATAATAATAATAATAATAATAATAATAATAATAATAATAATAATAATTATTATTATTATTATTATTATTATTATTATTATTGTTGTTGTTGTTGTTATTATTATTTATTTTTTCAATCAAAATGGTAAAAAAGTGAAATGATTTGCTTGCCAGTTGACTTTATCAGTAGCTCCTTTTTCCTACTGTGTTTGTCTTGAGTTTTCTGACTTTGAAAGAGTGGAAACCTCTATTTTTCCTCCTCCTTAAATAGAAATAGTTTTTTTTAACCTTCCTTTAAGAAGTCAAAGCAGCTGAAGCAATCATATGACGGTTCCTTCCATGTGTCGGACAAGTAATCTTTTATGTCTAGAAATGGCTGAAATGTCAGGTTCATACAGGGTTGTTTGAAATGCCTAAAAACAACAAGAGATAAATGCAGGACAGAGAATTACAGCTCGAGCTTGCAAAAATCAGGACTAAAAGCAAACAGACGAACATAAATGGAAGGTCAGATTTTCACAGCAGCCTCTGAAATCCCAAAACAGACAGATCTTTGAGTCATTGGGCTTCAAAAAGAGGAAAATGAAACAATATTTTTGCAGCTATGAAGAAGGGAAGCTGATCTTTCTGACCCAGCAGTCAACTTCAACCCACAAATCCATATCAGAAGTGCATTAATCCCACGCCACAACACAGAGGGAGTGTGCTTACTGAGGTAATCTCTCTTCTGGGAGACTTGACCTGATCCTTCCAGTGAGTCCCCCATCTTTTTTTTTTTTTTTTCTTCACAGACGCAGCGATGGCCCTTGGCTGACAGAAGAAGACCCATTTTCCTGTCTTTTAATCTTTGTGAAAAGCTCTGATCATTCTCCAAAATGTAAAACAAAAAACAGATGCAGGTCTTTCTTTGGAGTCTCACTCTGCTGGTGTCGGATGCGCGTTGAACAGCGTTTTTTTCAGGGGTGCTGTCAGATAATATCAATGTGTCTGGACTGAGGAAGACTGCAGGAAAACGTGGCCTCACCTCTTAGATGTCAGAGATATTGGGTGGTAATGAGGTGCTAAACCTTTAATCAGAATATGCAGGTCGGCATGATGATGCTTCGTCAGAGTGTTTGACACAGTGTTAAGTGGGGGTCAGGGAGAGTTGAAGAGAAAACTTTCATAACTGTCTCTCAGTGATGATGATGATGATGATGATGATGATGATGATGATGATGATGATGATGATTATAACGACGACGACGATGATGATGATGATGACGTTGTGTTTGTGTGCCAAGTTCACATCAGTGGAAGAGACCCATTTGAGCTGCTGCTTTAAGCTGGACAACCTAGCATTGATGGTGCACTGCAAGTCAGCACAATGAATTCTCACTCACACTTAACTAGATGAGATAAAGGTTTCTGTTTTTTTACAACGATCGAAATGAACCAAAAAATCCTCACACATCTGAAGAAGTCTGCTCTTTCTGAGACTGATTTTCACAGTGTAACACAGACTGTCAGACTGTTTTCCTCCAAAACTTCATCTGCATGAAAGCTTTTAAACATACTCCAGGGGAAAAAAAACATGATTTGCTGATTCAATTGTGGTGTAACAGGAGCTGGACAGTTTGTTGCCCTCAGACATGCATGCCCTTAGCCACTCTGAGGGCATGCATGTCTGTTTCTTCGTATAAAAGCTTCTGATACTGATCCATGAAGGTAAATTAGGGAGCAATATCAACACCTATCAGGACACCTCATGTTGAAAGAATTGAACTGAAACACACTGTTACTGCAGCTGTTTTGAAAGGAATTTGAATTCACTGAATTGGACCTTTTTCTTCAGACTATATGCTGAGCTTCTGCTAAGTACACTCACTCAAATCTGTATCTAAGGGTGTTTTCGCACTTGGTCCCGAACACAGTCCTCTTAAGTGGACTAAAAGAAAAGGAACTCCGTTCTTTTTGTGTTCACATTGTGAGTTTATTTCAAAGAGGGCCTGGTTGTCTTTCTGGTTCAGTTTTAATGTGGCCTCAGTCCTCTTTCTGTTCACACGAGGTCCTCTGGAGCATTTTATTATGAGTGCTGAGGTACTTCTGTGTTTTTTTTTTCCAACTTTAACTCTGTACTGTACAGATGTTCGATTTTAACCAACCGCTTTCATCCTCTCTGAAATTTCTTAAAAGACTATTATGTTACGGTGAGTCGTATATAGTTCTGCTTTTATTCTCTCGTTGTTCACATATAGACAAAAAATGCTGAATCATGTTGTGAGTTTGTTTAGAGGACTGAAGGGACCAAGGAGAGGCTACTTTGGTCAAAAGAAGGATTTTTTTTATGCAACAAGTTGTACTTGGTGGTATGGATCTGTTCTGAGAGTGCCCTGCAGAGCACACCCCTCTCAGTTTTTCATGGGCATACATGAGAGTCCAAGGAGCTAAGGCAGGGAGTGTAGCAGCAGCAAGGATAGAACGGAGCAGACATCAGTGACAGTCAAGGTACAGAAATGAGAGGATGGAGAGGAGGGGGGTTGTAGAGCAGTTTGAAGCGGCAGCAGGAAAAGGCAGTGAAGAACAAACACTTGAACATTTTCTATTTGGTCAGATTGAAGGTCATTGGCTGTGCTGTCAGCTAAAATGGGCTAGTGCTGAGATTAGCTGATGGCTGGGGGAAGAGCTTGACTCATTGGCCTGCCTTCACTAACTCCATGCTCAAATCAGAGAGTCCACTCACAGTCTGTCATGAAAAAACCCTTGTAGCAGTGCTAAAGACAAACATGTCCTGTTAGCACACAGACACTGTCGTTTCTTCCTTTTGAAATCTTCCAGACAAAACCTTTTCTGCTTTCATGAATTTGAAGTAGCTCCTACAATGTGTGAATGCTCGCTCAGCCCAGACAGTAGTTTTTTTTTTTTGTTTTTTTTTTAACCAGTGAGTCTGATTTTACTCAGGTTTTTTGCCTGGTCGAAGACAGCTTGTCATTTTCTAACTCATGTCCGGTCTTCTTTGTCAAATCCACCGTTCTTGTATGAAAAGTACTCTACAGATACAGTTCAATTAAAGTATCTTGAATTAAAGAGGAGGCTGCAGGTGTTTACAGCAGAGCTTCACAATGCTATTTCAACAATTTCAAACGTCGACAGTTAGTCTGGTTCAAGAGTTCAATCAGGTTGTACAACATGTTGTTGTTAGAGTTGGTGGTGGTGGTGGTGGTACTGCAGGGGGGGGGGGGGGGGGTTGAAGCCATGCCATGCTCTGGACCCCACCTCCCCCCTGCCAGGCTTCAGATTTAACCCTGGCTGAAGTCACATGAGGCTGGCACACAAAGGGCTGATATGATGGCCAACAGGCTGCAGGGAAACTCTGCAGGAGGGGGGTCGGGGGTTGTGCCTTCCCCACTGACATATCTAAATGAGCTGCCCCTCCAAGTCTAAAACTCATCCCCACAGTGCTGCTGACTACACACTGGCAACAACGTCCACACAGGCAGCAGTGGTGCTCAGAGTCCATGTTTGATTTTCAGGGATGAGGTTGATCGCCTTTTTAAATCTTTGATGACATACACTCATTGTGGCCCGCAGCAGCCCTAAGACCTCCACTAAACCTGTAAACTGAAGGCTTTAGGCTCCCAGTGTCCTGGGAAATGCAAAGGCAAACAGAAAAGGAGAATACACAGTAATAGCGTGCTGAGTTTCAGGAGCTGAGGCTTCACCTTATGCCTGTTTGGTCTCTGTATTCCTGAAGGTAGGCAGGCGTGTTTCCCAACCCTCTATCATTAGGAGTGTGTGTGTGTGTGTGTGTGTGTGTGTGTGTGTGTGTGTTTGTCCCAGTATATTCAAGGTGTTAACTGCTCTTGGATAAATAGACCAGCAGCTATTCCTGCCCTCCATTGAGGAACACTTCTACCTCAGTGAGTGGAATCAGCCTCTGAAATGTCACCATGTATTTTACAGCAATAACTCAATAGCGCTCCCCATGTAGCCCAAAATAGAGTCAATTCAGGGCAGCTCCTGTTTTAGCTGCTTATGTCAGGCTCGTATAAAGGGATCGGGATTACAACCACAACCAGGCCTGAATGGAAAGATGGAAGAGAAAATAAGAGCTGAATGTGCTGCCAAATTAAACAAATACTCACTGGCCCACATCAAACAACCGCAACTCTTCCAAATCACTTCATACTTTCAGGTGAAAATGTAGTCTCAAAGGGAAAACAACAGGCTTCCATGTTTTCTCACGGTCAGAAAAAAGGTTAGGATTTCTCCAGCCAATGTGATCCAAATGCTTTGACTTCAACCCAGCCACTGAATGAAGGCAGGTCAAAGTCTGTCCATCAAGTGCAGAAAGAGTTGTAAATGCTCTCTTATTTCACATTTTATTAAATGGTGTTCCTTTGGTTGAGACCGATACTTATTTCCTGTACTTTAACCGCGTGTTTTTTTTAAATTATTCTTTAGACTGAAATGAAACTGTTAAGCATTTCTTTAGCTTGGTGTTTTCTGGCCACAGAGGGTTGCAGATTCTGATAGACCTCAGTTTGTCCGCTTTCCTTTTCTGGCTGCAAAAATGCTCCAACTAACACCCGGCATTGGTTTAGGGTAGTGAAAATAGAACACAGCAACTGATAACTCTTTATTTGCAGAGTGAGGTGAGTGTTTGGTATTATTCATTATCCTCTCTCTATCTGATCTGCATCAGGCAGCTGTATACGCAAAGGCCCTGAGGTTTTGAAGAGTAAATCAAAACGAAATCGTAAAATGAGGAGCAGACGGATTGTAGGGCGCGTCTGTGCGCGGACTGACTCCTTCGTGGTGAAGAAAGGATTTGTGCTGTGTTGTTCTCTTTTAGCGGGGTGACTGTTTGTTTCTCCACAGGTAGTTTGAAAATGTCTCCTTAAACGCAACATACACGATCAGAAATATCCAAGAGGTTGTGTGAAAAGCTCTTTTTTGCGCACACATAGATCGCATTTTGACGGCGGTATAATCACCATAATTCTATTGATTATGAGTTTTCTAACGTGTGTATCTGTGCCTGTGTGTCTCCTTGTGTCTGCAGAGTCTGGTTATGGATTTTAACCTGCTGACGGACAGTGAAGCCCGCAGCCCCGCGCTGTCGCTCTCTGATACCGGGACCCCGCAGCACGAGCCGGGATGTAAAGGCCAGGACACGAGCGGTCAGTGTGCGCCTTCTCGGAGCTTGATGCATGCTTACATACAAATATTTTACAGCATGGAATTGACATTTCTACACTTCTCTTAAGCTTCAGTTTTACGCATGCGTTTTTGTCCTGATGAACCAGGGGAAACATGAATACACACAATTTATGACATTTGTAAAAAAAGGTCAGAATAACCACGATCATAAATACAGACTCAACCTGCCTTCGCGGGCAAGGAGATATTACAAAATACTTTCTACTTAAATAATGATAACCATTATAACATTAACAACAACAACAACAACAATAGTAACAATAATAATAATAATAATAATAATAACAACTATTATTATTATTATTATTATTGATAATTTTGACAACGACAACATTATTATTATATTATTATTATTATTAGTAGTAGTAGTAGTAGTAATATTTTAATATAAAAATATTAACAATAACAATAATAACAACAACAACAACAACAATAATAATAATAATAATAATAATAATAATAATAATAATAATAATTATTATTATTATTATTATTACTGTTGTTGTTGTTGTTATAAGGCTATGGAAGTATCGTTTGTTCTTGCACAATATAGATTGATGGAGATCTTGATTACAAACTGTCGTAATTCAAACGGCAGGAAAGATTTATTTTTCCTTCATGTCAGACTGCAGCTGGTATTTCAAAAAAATTTTTGCATGGTGGATCTGTGAAACCAGAAAACAGCCGCTCCACTTAAAGTGTGATCCGCCTCTTTATTGGTCGCTCAATCTAAGTTAAACAGACTTATTTAGATAAGAATAGGCCCTAAACTCTGCAATATCCCGCGTGTAAACTTGTGTGTGAGAGAGAGCTCCTGATGAAATCTGAAAACCCTTTTAAAGTGGAGTTTTATTAGCGTTTTTACGCAGCAGCCTCTCACTCTTCCTTGGGCGCAGCTGATGGCCTTTGATAACACATTCTTCATGTCACTTTGTCACTTTGAATATGAAAATTTATTCAAAATGAGGAAAATCGTTTTTTTCCTCCTGAAAACAGCAGCATATCAGCGCGACGTCCTGGTTTCATCATTCAGTCCAGTGCGCGTTTCCTCTGACCGATGATCAATTCAGTTCACCATACTCATTAAAACCATCTCTTTAACGAGTTTTACTACAACGCGGTTTTTTCCTCGGCCTCATTAAGATGTGGCTTGTCTAACTTACAGTAGCTTGGGCATTATTGAAATAATTACTCTGTAATGTCATGTCCCCACTGATCATGAAATGTTTTCATGCTTAAATGAAATTTCTGTTCTGTACAAAAAATAAATAAATACATACATAAAAAAAATACCCAGCAGCTGTTACAGTCTTTATATCTGCTTTTATAATGGGGACGATTTTCCACCAGCTCCTGACATTCCATTTAACTGAGTGTTTCAACAGGACCTGTTACCTGTAATCATTTGGCCTTAAATATATTCACATATATATCCGAGCATTATTTATTGAAATCAATCAGGACCATCATCAAACCAAATAAAGACTAAAGCGCCTGCATGAGAGAAGGCTGATATCACTTCTTAAATATGAAATTTCTGCATGAACCAAATCCAAATATCCATCAAATACTAGTCAGGATTCAGGAGTGCAAGTGTGCACAGGTCCTGGGTTGGTTTTTCAGGGTGCTGCGGTGATGAAAAATGGGTCTAACCCAAGACAGCATCAAGATTTTCAACGGATACAACCGCACATTATTGAAGTAATTCAGATCATTGTAAAATTAAATATGATGATTTACCCCCCCCCCCCCCCATCTATCTCCATCTGTCTATCTCCTGTTCTGTGTCTCTGTGTGTTTAGCTGTGTGTAACTTGATCTTATTGCTTAAGTGTGTGTGTTGTTTCAAATCCAGCCGTTACAAACTGTCAGACACAAACTATTCGGGTCTAAAAATGGCCTCGTGTCTTTGCTGCTGCTCCAGACCTCTTCAGGAGGACTTTTCTCGCTCATGTAGTCTCAGAGAGTTTATCATGTGCTGTCTGTGTGCTGTTCAAACAGGGTCACATGTATTCACAGGGTCTCAATGTCACTTTTATTAACACACAGGTCTTGTTAATGCAGGAGAGAAAAAGAGACTTTCACAGCTGATTCGTAATCCATCAGAAAATGATGTTTTTTTTGGCACATCGATCAGAATAATAAGCATTTGTTTTAGAGTTGAAAATCCTAAGTTTTATAGATCAGATAAATAGTCCTGATATAAAAACCTTAAATATTTCGTTTACTGTCCAAGATGACTCCAACATGATTCCAGGATGTTTTCAAGAATTTGTGGCAGGCTGACACATGCTTTATGATCTGCTAGACACATTCAAAGAGTTCAAATGCTTTATATCAGCCTGTAACGGGGCCTCTCAAATCATGTTGAATGATAATAATAATAATAATAATAATAATAATAATAATAATAACGTTGATGATGGTGCACACAGATTGCATGTCAGGTTGTCTGGACTTATTTTCATTTATAGTGGTGTCATGGTGTCTCTCTGTGACAATAAAGACCAGACCACATGTGTCTGTGTTCTCTTGAAAGCAGAGGAATTCAGTACTGAGGAGGGATTATTCCAGTCATGCTGTCATTATAAATATGTTTTTAGGAGTTTATTCATCTTTATTCTTCTTTATAGAGCCAACAAAACACTTTCTGAAACCACATTTGTGCTCACCACACTGAGCAGACACCCAGGCCTCAGGCTCTGACCCTCCTCACACCATTACTGATCAATCACGTTCTCTCTCTTTATTATAAAGAGGCTTTCTCTCTGAAATCAAAGTGAGCACTCCTGTTAAAAAGAGACTTTGAGAACATGTCAAGCAGGTTTTTCTGAAGGTCTGATCTGAAAGGGACAAATCTCAGATACTTCACATTTCTTAACAAAGTGGACATGAGCGTACACAGCTTGTGTTTCTGCCTCTTTTTTAAGATGCTGAGAAGTCATTTGGTTCAAGCCTCCTCCTGTCTTGTAGCTGGCTGTTTGCAGGTTCAACCCCTCTGAGAAGCTGACCTGGAACAATTCTGACATGTCTGCACATTATCAGTCCGATTGCTCCTATTGTTGCTCAGTGCGTCGCTGCCCTCTCCTCTGTATTGTGATAGACTTTGGCCTTAAGTGACAGCTTACCCAGTGTCAGTTTACTGCCAGATAACAGCCTGGTGGCTCTGGCCCTCATTGATTTTGCTGGTGGCCCTGCGGAGCCTCTTTTTAAACCCTGCTGATCATTTGGAGCTGCTCTGAGAGCTAAGCCCTCACCAAACAGAGCCCAACTTGCCCAAGTCACAAAAGCCTGATCCGCAGGATTAGCTGGCCAACTAATTTCACTTCTTTCTGTGAGGTCCTTAAATTGTGGGAGTGAGAGGAACCCTGGCAGACATAACATGGATGTGTGGTCCTTTAAAGTGGCTGGACTGGGGGCCAATGCAATCAGTCAGGGCTCCTGCATCTTTAAGTAATGCACTATTTGAAGTCGCTCTCTCCTGCAGTGTTTCACCCAGGCCTGGTCTTGAGGGGTGCAGGGATTTCACATCATGTTTGATCCCACAGGGTTATCCAGGGCTTTCAGCAGGAGGTGGATAGAGCCAATTCAGAGAGAGGAGTCCGATAAATGTGCTGTCAAAGTCAGTCAGAGTATAAAAACAGACTTGGACTTTTACAGACTCTGTAAGTGAGATTATTATTTGGACTTCAGTCAGGGTTTCCTGCACCAACCTTCATGCTCATGCAGACTTACAAGTATTTTATTAAAAAAACAAAACAAACAAACAAAAAACAAACAAAACAAAAAAAAAAAAACAGAAATGCTGCAGCAGTGTCTTTAAATACAGATCTTTTGTTTATAATGTAAATGGTAAAAAAAAACAAAAAAATACATGACCATACATGACACTACCGACAGCTTGCTTCACTGAAAAGGTGGTATGTTTTGGATCATGAACAGTTACTGTCCTTCTCCTTACTCTTCTCTTCCCATCACTCTGGTACAAGTTGATCTTTGTCTCATCTGTCCATAGGATGTTGTTCCAGAACTTTAAAGGCTTTTTTAAATGTTGTTTGGCAAACTCTAATCTGGTCTTCCTTATTTTGAGGCTCACTAATGGTTTACATCTTGTGGTGAACCCTCTGTATTCACTCTAGTGAGGTCTTCTCTTGGTTGTTGATTTTGACACTCATACGCATGCCTCCTGGAGAGGGTTCCTGATCTGGCAAACTGATGTGAAGGGGTTTTTCTTCTCCAAAGAAATAATTTGTCTGTCATCCACCACAGTTGTTTTTCGTGGTCCTCCGGGTCTTTTGGTGTTGCTGAGCTCACCAGTTCGTTCTTTCTTTTTAAGAATGTTCCAATAGTTAATTAGTCCACACCTGATGTTTTTGCTATCTCTCTGATGGATTTGTTTTGATTTTTTAGCCCAATGATGGCTTACCTCACTGATAGTGACAGCTCCTTTGATCTCATATTAAGAGTTGACAGAAACAGATTTCAAATGCAAATGTCAGACCTGGAATCAACTCCAGACCTTTTACCTGCTGAGTTGATGATAAAATAATGAGGGAATAGCCCACACCTATCCATGGAATAGCATTTGAGCTGGTCGTCCCATTACTTTTGGTCCCTTTAAAGGTGGGAGGCACATTTGTGCTTTATATTTAGTATCATCTGTGGAAGTACACTGGTGGTAAGGTGTAGGGACTCAGTGTAGGGACTGGCTTGGTGAAACTGACAGCTTTCAGCAGATAAACTAACTCTGTGTTTCTGTGACTTTTTTGAGAGGAGGTCAGTGTATGGTCAGAGACTGTCTGGATCCAGTCCTTCTAAATGAAGCTAATCTGGGCTGATTCAGGTATAAAACGGAGAGTGAATTCCTAACACCAGCTGACTATGCTACATTGAGGCTGCCATCTTTTTATAGCCTGTTGACCAGTCAGAGGCCCTATCTGTGATCAGATGACCTTGAAAGTTCCAGTGAGAAGATTTTTAGATTTATTGTAGATTTTTTTTTTTAGATATTGAAAACCCTGGTCTAATAATTAATCACAGGGTATATATTCAAAGTGCCAGCTCAGTCTTCAACATGTCATCTGTCCTTTAAACCTGCAGGCTTTCTGAATAACATCTGCTCCAAAAATGTTCCCCTATTAAAGCACAACTCTAATTATTCATAAATCAGTATCAATCAGCACATCTCTTTAGTCATCATACATGGAGCAAAAAACACATTTCATCGAAAAGACGGTACAAGCACCAGTTTACCTTTTTGTGCAATTTAATGTGTTGTTTTATTATGTTAATTTTTTAATGAAAACTGCTGCCTGTTTCAAAATAAGTTGTGGTCTTTAATCCTTTTCAAATCTTCAGGTTCATGCAGTATGAGAGACACAGTGAAGAGTGAAGATAATTAAAGATTTGATCATTTTCAGTTTTATGGTTTTCCCTTCCAAATCCAGACAATATTTTTATACATTTTTCTCCTCTTCCTCCTCCTTCTTCTTCTTCTTCTTCTTCTTCTATGTTTCTCACATAAACCTATACAGATGTAAACTTCCCCCAGGCTCCTCCCAGTTTTTTTTTCTTCTGCACATCCATGTCATCTTGAATCACGTGAAATCATCCGACTCAGCTTTGTAGGGTTTGGTCTTTTTATCTTTCTCTTTCATTCAAAAACACCCTCAGATTTGTTCAGTGATCCAAACAAGCTTATTTTACTGACACTGATGATGCTAAAATAATAAATAAATAAATAAATAAAAACTTTAAAAAATTTAATTTCTTCAACGCAACTTTATTTGTAAAGCACTTCAAAACCACCACAAAGTGCTGTACATAAATAGACAAAACAACCCAGACATAAAAAACAATCAAAAAACAATTAAAACAATGGATAAGATAAAAGTAGATATTAAAAAGTAAAATATAATTTCAAGGTTTTTACAAACAAATTTAAAAACATAGAAACAAATAACTAAAAACAAACCATAATACACTAAAACAGGAGCCGAGTCTCATGCAGAGTTGAAAGCCAATGAATAAAAATGGGTTTTAAGACGAGCTTTAAAAATAGACAGTGTGGGGGCTTGTCTGATTTGTAGGGGTAGCTCATGCCATAATTTTGGGGCCGCAACAGAAAAAGGTTGTTCCGTCTGAGCTTCAGTTTGGACCCGGTACCTCCAGGAGCAGATGATCAGCTGATCTGAGGCACCGAGCAGGGGTGTAGGGGTGGAGAAGCTCAGAGAGGTAAGATGGAGCCAGACCATTTAAAGATTAAAAAACAAATAAAATAATCTTAAAATGAACTCTAAAATGCACAGGTAACCAGTGGAGGGAGGCAAGGATAGGAGTAATGTGCTCCCTCTTACATACTCCAGTTAAGAGTGGGGCGGCTGCGTTTTGTACTAACTGGAGACGTGAGAGGGAGGACTGGCTGACTCCAAAGTAAAGTGCGTTACAGTAATCCAGCCGAGATGTAACAAAGGCATGGATTACTGTTTCAAAGTGCTTACGTGCAAGGAAAGGCTTTGCCTTAGCCAGCTGCCTAATATAATAAAAGCTGATTTTCACTACTGAGCTAATTTGCCTGTCGAATTTAAAATCACTGTCCATCTTAAAACCCATATTTCAGATGGTTGGCTTTAAATAGTCTGCTAAAATACCCAAGTCTACAGGAGTGGATTCACAAGGGCGACTGGGACCAAAGACTCTGTTAACAGAGTTAAATTCATGGTTCGAAAACAAACAAACAATAATAAAAAAAACCTAGTCATTTTCACTTTATTTCATTCTGATAGAAAATGTTATTTCCCTTGCTGCAGTTTCTGTTGTTTTTTGCCTGAATGATAAAATTCAAGAGAAAAGATTTGTAAAGGTTTTAGTCAGAGCTGAACTCTGTAGCTTTTTCATTTTTTGATCTGGATATTTCCATTCTCACCTCAGCTCACTCTGGCTTTGTGTGTGGCACAAACATGTAACATGGAGCCTAAGGCAAAGTTGGGATCAAACAGTTTAGGTTTGCTTTCACACTCATCCTGAAAAACTGGGGAGGATTTATGGTGCATATGTCTGCAGATTGATCTGGCTGTCGATATTTTCAATACATGTAAAAACCCAAGCACAGACAAAGTAAGAGAGTTAATGAGCCTACAACACACATCAGGACACTATGAAAGAATATTTGATAATAGAGCACAAATTATGTCCTAGCCTGCCTTTCACAAATCTCTCTCTCTCTCTAACTTCTCCTCTTCGGTGCCTGCAGACACAGAGAAATCCCACCAGAACCAGCTGGATGAGTCCAGTGCTGAGGATGGCTCCCTGAAGAAGAAGCAGCGGCGGCAGAGGACTCACTTCACCAGCCAGCAGCTCCAGGAGCTGGAGGCCACCTTTCAAAGAAACCGCTACCCTGACATGAGCACCAGAGAGGAGATTGCAGTGTGGACCAACCTCACCGAGGCCCGGGTCAGGGTGGGTAACCACAGCTCTGATTCTGAGATAGGTTGTTTTACTGCAGCAGCTGGTTTCACTGACCACGGCAGTGAGAGTAAGGATGAAGGCTGCAGGAGAATGAACTATGGGAACCTGCACAGTGGCTGTTGAACAAACAGATGATTTCCATGCCATGGACAAATGCCATGACATTTAGCTGTATTTTTTCTGGTGTTAGATCTAAGACCTAATGTACTCCTAAGACCAAATGTTGATTGATAAATGAAAGAGCCTTTTTCAAAGATCTAAGTGAGCAGCACAGAGCACAGGACACTCACATTTGTCACTCCAAAACCGAACACGCTAACACTGCAACAGTTTTCTCATAGAAGCAAAAAACAGACAAAAGCACAGTGGATCCCTGAGTTAAACAGCTGGTTTGTGATCCTGGTGATTAATGACTAGATATAGGTTACAGAGATCATTTTCCTGCACCCTGCTTTCATTTTGACTTCACCTGGGTCTCCTGGAGGACATTAGTTTTCATTGGTCAGTGTCTGTGCAGCTCACTATGCCCTTTCAGTGCAATAACTTGAACCTTTGTTTTTGATTGTGGGGCCGCAGTAGATGTTCATCTGCGACATCAGGATGTGGAAATGTTGAACCTTTTTTCTACTTGGCTGCTCTCTCTAATAGGTACAGAGTGATACACAGCAGGGCAGAGATGTTGTTTCTATGAAGCCGGGAACTTGGGAAGTGATGTCTGAGTGAGTCTGAATGAGGGTATGGCGGCATGATGCTGGGAGGATGTGTGCAGCCCACAGCCAGCTCAGTGACCACACCCACTGGTTTCTGAGGAGGCAAAAAGACAGGAATGCTGACTCCAAATGACAACCTGTAATTGTGATCAATCACTGAATGAATTGCAAAACCTGCAAGCTAGTTCAGACAGGCAACTCAAGTTGCACTGATTTCACACTTGACAGGTGTCAGTTGCTCAATTGCTCAGATAACACTGCTGAATTGGTGCTGTATTCAAGCTGCAGGATATTGGTCTTTGCCTCTGCTTTGCTGCCATGCTGGAGTGCTGCACTCACTGTTTTCAGCCCCACCTCCTCCCCAGCAACCATCTGCAGGCCTGAAAGGGTGGGTTCAAGATATTGTCATATCATCTGCAGCAGATGAAGGTAAAACTGTGAGGAGTGATGAGGTGAAGAGCAAAAAAGCAATGAATGCTTTCAAGCGTCTCACTGAAATCACATTTTCCATATTTCCACCATTTTACATTTGAAACCATTTTTTTTACTCCATCTTAAAATCATTTTTATCGTGTCTTGATTTAAAATCAAATGAACACTGGTACCTAAGGATTTTGATTTTCTGTGTGGTCTGAAACTACAACTTAAAGGGAGGAGCCTGTCAGAGTTTTTAAGAACTAACCTAATGGACAACACTGTTCACAAAATGTGAATCACACTTGATCATGTTCAGAATGGGCAAAAGTGTTGAGGACTACAAGAAGTCGTTAGTGGCCTGAGAGCCAGTGAATCAAAAGGACTTGAAAGCCTTCACCTGGGAACAGGCTCCTCTCTCAAACAGCCAACATTCATTTGATTGGATGATTTCTGAGATATGATGACCTTCAGGGAAATCTTCTTGCAGTTTGGTATAAAGTGCAGATTCTTTGAGCCAGTTGACTGAGCTGCCAAGGAGTTGATTTGGAAAAATGGGCCCTTGAAAAGCACAGAGATTTCATGAAAGCAGCAGGGAGATGCTACAGTGGGCTGGAAAACTCAAAATAGCCATTAGGGAAAAAAATCACACATTAATTTTGGACCGTTGTTACATCACATTATTGAGTAAACAGTGACAGCCTAGCTTAAGTTTACGCTTTTTAAAATTTTTTTTTTACACTGGGATTGCTTTTTGACTTGAACCGTGTGATTGTTGGTTATGAAAGGATAAAAGTGGGTGATTTTATTCGGCTGACTGAGACTAAAGCCCCTTTAATGAGGCTACAGACAAGGAACTGTTGCACCTTTTTCTGCCTCCCTGGTAGGGGAGTGCTGCTCTTGTGACAGCATGAATGAGTGAGCTACAATGACTCCTCCAGGACTTTTCATGTGAATCTGTGGGCACAGACCACAAACTGAACACGTTTTAGACCTACCATCGCTTTGCATACAGCCTAAGATACATTATATACATTAAGGGAAATAATGATCAGTCTAAGGTACATCATATAATTTCAAGTCTAAACAAACAGGCTTTGGGATTTAATATAAGTCAGTGGTGCAAAATATGCTATCTAGGGTACGTAGTAGACAGTCTGTGCAACATAATTTACACACTCCAATACAAAAACTATAATCCATGAAACACACTAAGCAGTTTCAAGTACATAATCTACAGTCTCTGGTGCATAATACACAGGCTATGGTATGATATATACAGGCTTTTTGATATTATATACAGCATTTGTTCCATAATATATAGTCTACTGTACGTGATTTACAGTTTTTGGCTCCTAATTTATCGTCTTTGTTCCATAATTCACAGTCAGTAAAATGAAGAATGTGTGGTACATGTACAGCAAGCAACTATTTGATGGATCTTTGATGGGTTGGATCTCAAATTTTAATCCTCTGTAATAGCCCATGAAGCATGAATAAGCTAAGTGGTTGTCTACAATGGGGGACTTGATTGATTGTTTTAAAGACAACATTTGTGAGTTTCTAATGTCTCTGAATTGGGATTTAACTTGACAAATACACTATGGAAAGAAAACATGAGGTCATGGTAAAAAATGAGAATGATCTGCTGTTGAATAAAAACAAAAAACAAATATGTGATGTAGGCTACCCGCTGCTGTGCTTTATTCCCACACTGGACATAAATGTCAAAGTTGCAGCAGAAAGAAGGACCACACACAGCGCTCTGCTCACTGCAGCTATATGGAGCAGGAGGACACAGTGGGACAACAATACAATTGCTGGCACGCCTGTCCACTAATGCTGGCTGGTTGAAAGGTCACATAGCACACACTCTTGGTTGTTATTTTGAAGGGACAACAGACTACACAGCGTCTCACTCTTAATGTCCATCAATGGCCTTTTCAACCCCTGTTTGCCGGCAGATTCCTGCATGCTCAGAATATTTCACCTGTCACTTTGATTCATGGGATTTTTCAGAGAGGGGCTGTTCATCATCCCAGTTAGAGCCAAACAAGACACAAGCATGACCCTAAATCAGAGTCAGAGCATGAAATGTAAAGACCTTGATGTTTCCTGCAGGTCAGATAAAAAAAAAAAAAAGATGTTTTATGGTTTTATTCCTATCATGTGGAGGGATGCACAAAACTAATCAACAAGCTGAATTCTATACCTGTTAGTTCATATGTTTTCTCTATACACTCTATTTACCCAGCATTCTTATCAGCCATTAAGTGAAACATGTGATGTGGTTTCCCACTGACACCAGTCTGATTATCTGTACGCTGAACTCAAACTTCAGCCGTAGTTCATTTTCACACAAAATTCTGATTTTTTGTTAAACTGAGTCATCATTATTATCCAGCAAAGAGAGCAAGCCACATCAAAAACAATGCTTGTAGTTGTTGTTGTTATCAGAGGTAGAGGTGGTAAATAAATTCACTTCTTTAAGTTTGTTTGAATGTCTTTCTTTGAGGTTATTGAGCTGATGAGTCTGAACTGGGACCCTCCAGTACCAGCATGGCTACCTTTAAACTGAACATGTCCTGGGTGTCTTTATTCTGCTGAAGGCCAGATGGGTTCAGTTTGCCTATGGTCTGTTCTGTGTGTAACAAACAGTTAATACTGACATAATGACTTTGGCTTTGGGGATAAATCAAGTTCTTGTATTGTGTTGTATTGTTTTGTAAGTCTCTGTGGTATTTTGACCTCACCAGCAGGCAGGGGGACAAAATGATTTGGTTAGGTTTGAAAAAGGTTTGGTTGGAAATGAAACTCGAAGGAAACTGAAAGAGTTAACTCATAGTATGTACAATGATGTTTGTGAAAACTAAGACTTTTATTCCTAGATAAAACACAAACTTAGCTGTCTGACAGAAGTGCTTCACCTGTGACTGCAGTCACACCTGACTGAACGACACTGTTTTGGTGAAACTGTAAGCTGCTCTGGGGGCCGCCAAAGTTAGTGGTTTCTGGAGTCAAACTGATATAATTCACAAACTTGCGTTTTAATGATCATAGCGCACTGCCTTTGCACTGTTTTACAGACGGGTACATGGATAACCTGAAAGCTTCAGACTGCATTTCTAGGCAGTGATGAAAAAGGTTGGGTGGCTGCTGTCCTTTGGCATGGACTTTCCCCTGCTGTCACTGGAATGGAAAACTCTGAGTCATGTACTTTATACTCATATTGATGGTCAACAGCATTCTGTTTCTATAATAATCAAGGATTAGATGATACCCTGCCTGCATGCATGCCAAGGGAGCAGAGACTCAACACTGGACCTTTACACAAGTTTTGCGGGCCTCAAAGAAAAAGAATCAACTAATACCAAAAAATGTTCATGTGAAACAAACACTGAAGTGTGAACAGATAACTCGAGACTTTTGCTGGATCCCTCAGTTTCAATGAGAGGCACCAGTCTCATTAACGGAGAAAACTTTCCTTTTCAATTCGACAGTTTTTCATTTCTAAAAGCCTCTATCTTTTCCTCCAGTGCTTTAATCCATCTCCGGTCCTATATTTAGGACCGGAGGATGACAAATGTGAAGATTTTCTTTCCCCAACATAAGTCAATGATTAGTTTTAATAAGCCTCGCCTGCAACGACTGTTTGATGAAACACTTCAAATTTCTCTCTGGGATCAAAAATTCAGGACATGTCTGCACACTCAATTACTGAGAATAAATGAGGGAGGTTAGGATACTCTGACTCAGATGGCAATAAAACTTAATTTACTTCTGAGACTTTGTGAGGTTTGAGGTGTTCAGCGAGAAGTGAGTAAAAGTAAATAACTGTTTTAGCATTTCTGTACTTTTTGACTCTCTGAAAACTCGACTTACTCTGCCTGCTTGAGCTCTGTTCAGGTCACTGATGTTACTTTGAATTCCTCTTTAACTCCTTAAACATAAATCAGGTGCTCCTGACTCTCAAAAACAAATTAGGTCTTCATGTATTTTTATACTGAATTAGTGACAACTTAGAGAGAGATCCTCCACCTTTACAGAAGCACCACTGGCTTCATCACGACTCACAATTATAAGACTTGTGAGTTTTGTTTAGTTCCCAGAACCTTGTTTAAAAGTTAATTTACAACCGTTATACACCACATTAATGAATCCTGAACTTTGGTGGGGGTAGGATATACATTTGTCCTGAAATACCAATATATCATCAGGGATCCAGGAATCAATTTTTAAATCTAAAAATTATACCAAATGAGACTGTCTAAATTTGACTCACTGCATCACTTCTTCAAAAAAACTCCTGGTGGTCACCCAGATGACATGATCTCCAAACTCTTTATCTTTCAAGAGGATTTTATATTGTTTCAGCAGAGACATTATCATGACCATCCTGGCCATGTATCACACAGTATTCCTTTTAGTATTTTGAATTTCCCTTCGGGGATTAATAAAGTTCTTCTTCTTCTTTTATAATCCAATTGTATTGTATTGTTTTGTCACCTCATATCGTGTCACATTGTCGTAAATGTACTCTGATGGTGCCCATTTTGAGGTTAAATCTTTTATGCTCTCTGTGTACAGTAATATTGTCTTCTTATCTTTCTTGAACACTGTCATCTCTCTGACTCACAGCTGAAGAGAAGCTTTAGTAGCCTTTTTATGTAGTAGCTACTATCTGGCCCATCTTACAGTTTATTCCTTCAAAAAACAGGTTCAGTAAGGTTTGTTTAGAGCTCTTGTTTTTGGTTGCCTTATAAAGTAGTGCGAACCATCTTATGAGCAGGATACCATGTGTGTTTCTGTGTAGTTGTTCCTGTTGATTTGGACTTTGTCATTGCTGTTACAGAGCTACCAGTTTGTGGAGGGTTCAACAAACAGACTTGACATTCAAACGTGTTTTTCTTTGTCTTGGTTTCTGTAGGTATGGTTTAAGAACCGACGTGCCAAGTGGAGAAAGCGTGAGAGGAACCAGCAGGCCGAGTTGTGTAAAAACGGCTTTGGAGCCCAGTTTAATGGACTCATGCAGCCCTACGATGACATGTACACAGGCTACTCCTACAACAACTGGGCTACCAAGAGCCTAGCAAGCAGCCCGCTCTCTGCCAAGAGCTTCCCGTTCTTTAACTCAATGAATGTAAGCCCCCTGTCATCCCAGCCCATGTTCTCACCCCCCAGCTCCATCCCCTCCATGAACATGGCCTCTAGTATGGTGCCCTCGGCGGTGGCTGGGGTCCCCACCACAGGCCTCAACAATCTGGGCAACCTCAACAACCTCAACAGCCCCACGGCGCTCAATTCTGTGGCGGTGACTGCAGCCACGTGCCCCTATGCCTCCACAGCCAGTCCTTATATGTACAGAGACACCTGCAACTCCAGCCTGGCCAGCCTCAGGCTCAAGGCCAAGCAGCACGCCAACTTCGCTTACCCTGCAGTGCAGAATCCCGTGTCCAACCTGAGCCCCTGCCAGTACGCTGTGGACCGGCCAGTATGAAGAAGATGCTCTGACTAGGACCCTAATCCAACTGACCACCTGTAAGTCCACTTTCACCTGACTTGACATCTCCTCAGCTCTATCTCTGGCTGCCAGATGTGCTGCAGGCTGGCAGAGTGTGTTTCTGATGGTCCTCTTTCAGAAGAATCTCCAAACTGACTGATAAAAAGGTAGACTCGCCCTGATGGACCACTGTGCTTCAAAGGAATTCTCTCCAGTTTGTGAGTCTTTGTGGCTAAACTGACCAACTGCTCCAAAGGATTTCTAAAGATTATAATCCACACCTCTTTTTTCCTTCTTTGAACTGCATGATTAGAGTAAATGTAGAAACCGAGGGTAAATAAACATGGATGTTTCACCTGGACTGGGGGTCATCATCTTGGCCTATAACCACCAGATGTGATCGTTGCGACTATTGCAGGAAAAGGGACCTGCAGTTGCAATGACAGAGAAATGGAGGGTGTACATAATGGACTTTTTTCTGTTTTGTATGTGACAAAATATATGAAAACGTACTCTAAAGATGAGAAGAGCATGTTCTTTAAAAATAAGAGGCCCTGAGTTGAGGACATCCTTAAGGAACTTTAGACTTTGTTGTGAATTCTTCTCCCCACAGAAGGTCATAGGTCAAAGGTCAGCCTGGGAGAGCAGGAAGAGGGTAGACTTGGAAGATGAGCATATTAACCTCATGGTTGGACACCAAAACAACAGTGTGGTCACACATATAACAGAATATCAGCAAGATTTGTTCAAATGAAACTCTAAAAAGCCATTGATTATCTAGATTTGTGTGGTGTTATACAAAGGGAGTCATGACTGTAAAAATATATGTAAGAGTGCAGTTGTCATAGCAAAAACAAGCTTTTTTCCCGATGTAGCCTGCTTTGTCTCATTAAAGAACCCATTAAAGGATCTGTTTTTATGAACCAGAATGAGTTCTGACATTGAGCAGAGCCACACTCCTCCTTTTATATTGTTTATCTATAGCCTCTGGTGTCACAAAGGCCAAAACATGATGTCCTCACAACAATGACCATGGCGCCATGGAAACCCTGACTCACTTCCATGGCAACACTTGCGCAACGATGAAAGAGAGCAGTGAGCTGGAGGGAGATATAGATGTTCCCGATGGCGCTCTCTGATATGTTTGACCTACACTCGCAGCACTAACTGTAGGCTATCTGGTAACATGGCAGGAATTCACAGAAGCAGCACCAGGATTACATAAGAGCCTTGAAGGAGCGAGGTGTCCCAGTGGAGCCACAAACGAGGGGTTAGCAGCCCATCAATCCCCATCAGCCCCTACAACTGTTTATTGCCTTGACATTTCCACGCCTGTCAGTTTTTCTTTGCACCAATATTTAAAGAAAATCAACATAAAAAAACAAAGCATTTCTCTCCTTCAACTTTTCATTCAGATTGAAAGAACCACAGATACTTTTTAATATTTTTTGGGGTGGATAGGTACAGTTACACTACTGGTCAAAAGTTTTAGAACACCCCAACTTTTCCAGAATTTTATAGAAAATGATGCAGTTTAATGTCTCAGTTTACTCTAAATTAATGCACAGAACAAATAAACTAGTTCAAAAAGAAATCATAGAATTAATTGAAAATGTCTTCTAAAGTTTGGACTCATCAAAGTAGCCACCTTTGGCAGATATAACAGCTGTACACACTTGTGGCATTCTTTCTACAATGAAAATCAAATATTCTTCAGAAAGTTCTTCCCAACTCTGTTGCAGAAGTTTCCATAAATGTGTAGCACTTGCAGGTTGCTTTGCCTCACTCTTCTGTCCAGTTCATCCCAAACCAGCTCGATGGGGTCGAAGTCTGGAGACTGTGCTGGCCACTCCATGTTTTCAAGCTTGCTATCTTGTTCCTTTTTCTCAAGGTAGTTCTGGCATAGCTTGGATTTATGTTTTGGGTCGTTATCTTGCTGTAGGATGAACCCCTGACCAACTAGGCACATCCCAGAGGGAACTGCATGGCACTGCAGAATACTATGGTAGCTGTTTTGGTTCAGGGTGCCTTTCACTCTGTACAAGTCGCCGACCCTGGATCCAGCAAAACAGCCCAAGACCATCACACTTCCTCCTCCATGTTTGACAGTTGACATCACAAACTGAGGAACCATCCTTTCGCCTACTCAACAGTGTTCAAAAATCATTTAAAAAGTCTTCAGTAGTCCATTGGTGGTGTTTCATGGCCCAGGCAAGCCTCTTTTTCTTATTCTGAAGTCTCAGCAAGGGCTTTCTTGCTGCAACTCGACACATCAAACCTGCAACTCTAAGTCTTCTCTTCACAGTTGCAACTGAGACTTGCTTACTGAGACCTCTATTGAGCTGTGCTTGAAGCTGTTGTCCTGTAAACCTCACTGGCACCTTGACTTTCTTGGCAATTTCTCTGTAGGAAAGACCTACATTTTTAAGCGTTATGATGGTCTGTCTCTCTTCTATAGTTATAGTAACTTGTCATGGAAGGCAGATCTTTTGCTGACCTCTGCTGGTATTAAGTTGTACTCTCTGCATGAAAACAAAAACATTTTTGACGATTCCGTTATATTGTATTGCTTCCCTTTCTTTGAAACTAGTGACCTGGTTGTGGACAGTTGACTTGAGGGGGTCGCTTTTTAACACCCCCCCCCCCCCCCCCCCCCTTTTGTCAGGGCTGTCAACCCGCTTGTAATGAATATCTGTTTCAGCATTTCACATTAATTGCCTTTCCCTTGCCATTTTTGTAGTAACACACTACTTTCTGCAGTACACTACTGTTCAAACAATGGTATGATACCACAGTGTGTTCCAACACTACTTTTTATGCAGAGGGGGTTGTAAGTGATCAAGAAATGTTGGGACACATGTAGGAATTGGTTGCACCAACCTTCAAGGCTTGATCAACCTCCATTGCTGCAGAAATGCTTTAAGTTATTAACCCATTTCTTGTTCCCTGAAAAAAGGCCTTTTTGTATGATTCTAAAATGTACATTATTTTTCAGTTTTGGTTAATGTTACCTTTTTTCATTTACCTTTAGCAGTTCACAACTTAGCTTTGTACTCTTTCAAGCTGTTCATTGGACTTGGACTGCTTGAATTTCAATAACAAACTGGAACAATTGGGGTGTCGTAAAATTTTTGACTGGTAGTGTATTAAAAAAAAAATGTTGCTTTATGGTAACAGTCAGCTTTTAACACTACACCTAGGGTTGGGTACCGAAAACCAGTTCCTATTTGGAACCAGTTCCTAACGTCTGTTTCGGTATCATGAAGTAGATTTTTTAACTTTGATTCTTGTTTTCGGTTACGAGTGCCTGCACTAGTTTGTTTTCAGGGTGTGTATTACTCCGCTCTGTGTTCTCTGTGTGTCTGCTAGCAAGAAGAATAGAATAGAATAGAATAGAATAGAATAAAACTTTATTGATCCCCCAAAGGGGAAATTCAGATTATCACGGTAGCAACAGATAAAACAGGACATACGAAAGGAATCATCTAAATAAATAGCTATGATATCAAATAAATAGTTGACAATAAATAAGATAAAAACCTAAAAGTTAAAGTGCTCCACCAGTGAGTGTGTGTGTGTGCTACATCTCAGTGTGTGTGTGAGTGTGTGTGTGTGTGCTACATCTCATTTAAGGCCTATTAAACAGTCTGATTAAACAGTCTGATGGCTGTGGGTACGAAGGAGCTCCTGAACCTCTCTGTTTTGCACCTGGGGAGTGTAAGTCTTTGGCTGAAAGTACTCCCTCTCAGCCACAGCCTCTCGTGGAGGGAGGGAGGGGTTTTCCAGGAGGTTGTTGATCTTGTCCCTTACAGTCCTTGCCGTCACTGCCTCCAAACTGTCTAGTTTGCGGCCCACCACCTTGCTGGCCTTCCTCACCAGTCTGTCAATCTTATTCCACTTTCCCTCTTTGATGCCTCCACCCTTAGCATACCACAGCGAAAAACAATGTGCTTGCCACCATAGATTGATAGAAGGTGGCCAACAGTATGCTGCATACATTAAAGGACCTGAGCCTCCGTAAGAAATACATGGCTTTGCCCCTTCATGTACACAGCATCTGTGTTGTCCTTCCACCCCAGCCTGTTGTTTATGTGGACCCCCAAAAACTTGTAGGAGTCCACCATCTCCACCTCCTCCCCGTGGATAGTAATGGGAATATGAGGCCTCCTGCTCCTCCAGAAGTCCATCACCAGCTCTTTGGTTTTATTGATGTTTAGCTTTAGATGGTTCACCTCCAACCATCGGACAAAGCTCTCCACCACACCTCTGTACTCCTCCTTATCATCCTCGCTGATGCAGCCGACGATAGAGGAGTCGTCAGAGAACTGCTGGAGGTGACACTTGCTGGTGTTGTGCTTGAAATCTGAGGTGTAGATGCTGAAAAGGGACGGTGACAACACTGTTCCCTGGGGTGCACCAGTGCTTCCTGTCACCACATCAGACAGTGTTGACTGCAGTCTGACGTATCATGACCTGTTGAACAGGTAGTCCGTGATCCAGGCCACCATGTCATGGTCCATCTGGAGCTTCTCTGCAAGCAGAGAGGGCTGGATGGTGTCAAATGCACTGGAGAAGTCGAAGAGCATCACTCTCACTAAGTTCCCCAACTCCTCCAGGTGTGAGGCAGCCCTATGCAGCAGGAATAAGATGCCGTCGTGCACACCAACTTTGGCCCGGTAAACGAACTGCAGGGGGTCCATGTAGCTGCTCACCTGGGGCCTCTGCTGCTGTAGAACCACTTTAATGCCATCTGAGGTCAGTGCCACTGGCCTTTAGTCATTAAGCGAAGTGGGATGTTTCACCTTCAGCACTGGAATGATGCAGGAGGTCTTCCGCAGCTGGGGAACCCTCCTCAGTTACAGAGAGAGGATGAACATGAAGTGGAACACCTCAGCCAGCTGTCCTGCACTTGCCCTGAACAGACTGAACTGTGGGGTAGGCTGAGTCAAACCGGTTGAGGTGCTGGTTGAGCTCATTGGCAAAATCATGGTTCCCCTCTCTTGCTGGACCAGATGAATTTAGCCCTGTTATCTCCTTCATCCCCATCCACACTTCCTTGGCATTGCCCTGCTGCAGCTTATTCTCCAACCTCCCTTTGTAGCTGTTCTTGGCCCTTCTCAGCTCTCTCTTCAGCTCCTTCTGGACTGTCCTCACTTCCTCCCTGTCTCCAGACATGAATGCCATTTTTTTCCTGTTCAGAAGGAACTTCATGTCCTTGTTGATCCCAGGGCTTATTGTTTGGAAAACACCTAATCATTTTCATGGAAACAACGTTGTCCTGATGAAACTGAATATAGTCTGTAATAAGGCTAAACGATAGAAAATTTCTATCGGGATACATGAGCTCTATCGTTTCTATCACGGTGTCGCAAAAACACGCTTTTCGGCAGTGTTTTACGTCGTGACGCTCCATATATTGCATGCCCGCACGCGCTACTGCCACTGTGAAAAACACAAACAAGCATGGAGGAGCCGGGTTATTGTGGCGAAAGAGATGACAATTCTCGTGCATCAAACGCAGACGAGCCAACGCAGACGGACGAGCTGCTGCCGAAACGGGGGGCAACGTCGGTTGTGTGGTCGTGGTTTGGTTTTGAAAGGAGCGACACGGAGCAGACCGCTGTAGTTTTATTCTGAGTCAGCACATACATGTAAATCTATATCGATATACTCTGATCTATATCTGATCTGATGAGCGCGTTTGGACACTCCACCTGACCGAATTAACACAGCTGAAACTGCATTAAATTAAATATCCAGTAAACAGTCACACATGATGAAGTTAACAAGATATTTAATTCGTCTCCCCGCTTATCCTCCTTCTTCCTCGCGCAGCTTGATAGGTGTTATGCCGTAGAATGCACCCCTGCATCCCATCCACTCATTAGCTTCTTAAAGTGGAAAACAAATTATCTCATATTTAAAAAAACACGAGTATTGGATCATGACAACATGTCAAATGGAGCAGCCAACTTTCGTTCTGTTTTTAGGTTTTTAAAAAAAGCACATAGAGAGGTGTATTTACGTATTTAAACTGTACAGTTAGCTGTCATGGTAGAGAACATTATATTTTCGGGGCAGCAAATATTCCGTATCAGAGGGCTGTTGTTTTTGGCATATCTGAAAAGCCTGAATTAAATCATTAAAGGCACACCCTTTAGAATCAGTCCAACGGTAAGGAAAACTTGGATTATTCCGCCTTGTTATGTATCTTCAACCGCGCTCCCGTCAGGGGGGCATTCTACGGCAGGGGTACATTCTATGGCACAACACCTGATGTGTCTCCGTGTCCTCTCTCCATCCTGTTGCTGTTGAGGTGGCACGGCTGATCAGATGATTTATTTTAATGATCAGATGAGTTATTTACTTCAAGCCTACATGCGAATATTATATTTTATATAAACTATACATCAATTGAATTTACAAAAAATGTACTATATCGTGATGTATATCGTATCGGGATATAAAATGAGCTATATCGGGATATGACCAAAATCTCATATCGAGAAGCCTGAGTCTGTAATACAGTGGGTAAGACCACCAATGTCCCCCTTGTGTTCCTCCAGGAACAAGTCCCAGTTAGCAGAGTGGAAACAGTCCTGCAGGGCCTCCTCTGCTTCTCTGGACCACACTTTAACAGCCCTGGTGGTGACTGGCTGCTGACTCAACACAGGTTTGTATTTTGGTGAGAGATGTATCAGGTTGTGGTCTGATCTGCTCAGAGGAGGCAGGACATGTGAACTGTATGCCCCCTTACAGTTTGCGTACAGCAGGTCTAAGATTTTGTTCCCCGTTGTTTTACAGTCCACATACCGTGTAAAATTTGTCAGTGCTTTTGAGGTGGAAACATGGTTGAAGTCCCTGTTTATTACAATGAATGCCCTGGGATGCTTGGATTGTAGTTCTGCTACTGTTGAGTGGATGATGTCATAAGCATGCGATGCCATCGCACTCGGTGGGATGTAAACAGTAACAGTGACAACATGGGAGAACTCACGGGGCAGGGGCCTGTTCTACGAAGCAGGATTACTGCTTAGCAAGGTAACTTCTAGGGTAAGTTCGGGGTTTCTGTCGCGGGTTCACTTCTTAGCAAGCTGAGTCTCCATGGCAACATACACTGAACACCTAACCTGCTCCGGGGCAGGTTAGGTTCCAGATTGAACTCACCGAGTATAAAAACCCCTTCCACTGAGCAATGAGCTCTCTCGAAAAATGGCTTGTCCGTTCTTGGAGGATCCTACAGACCTCAGTGCTCGCATTGTCCGAGGAGCACTCCGGTGCGTGAGAGTTTTCAGGGATTGCACGGACCCACTTACTTTTCCGGATGACCACCTTTATGAAAAGCTCATAAGGCCTACATATCACACACAAAATGTAAACACGATAGGAATGAACAAATGAATGAATTCATCTTGGAAATGAATGGGCATGGGCTGTGTGTGTTCACAAACAACAACTTGGTACTATTTAGTAGCAGCGCACGCCCCTTGTAATAACCCCCGTAAGAACTGTTGTTCAGGACTGCTTACTTGTTCTTCCTACCCACTGTAATAACCGTTGTTCTAGCTGACATGCAACATTTTTGTTCTCATTCATGAAACAAATCAGGGACATTTTCAGGGACAGCTTTAGCTGGGGACAGATCATCCAATTCGGGGACTGTCCCCGGACGTCTGGTCACCTTAGTTAAAAGCGCGTGTTGAACAGTGCTATTTCAGGGTGATAATGGCGTCAAAGATTAATTTTCTGCCAGCATTCCTTCCGTGCTTTTGCAGCGGCGACAGTGTTGCTTTTGAGGTTTATGATAGATTTGAATTCTTCATACTTTCTCATGATCGTCTCCTGCTCCTCGTTTGTAAAGTACGCAGTCCTTTGCTCTCCTGCCTGCTTTGACGCTGGCGCTGACTGGTCCATGTCCGCGATTGGTCAGATGCGGCGGGCTCCGCCTTATATGCCTGCACGCGCTCATAGCAAAGCTGGATCAACTTACGAGATTGATAACCAGCATCGGAAGACCATTTAGCGAGACCACTGGCTACCGAGGTAGCTCCAAGGCTACCTCGCTAGGTCAAACTTGCTTCGTAGAAAAGGCCCCAGGTAATATGGTCTCAGTCCCACAGCCAACAGTTTTATATCCGGAGTACACATTGTCTCTCCCATGGTCACATGTTTGCTGTTACACCATTTGGAATTAACAAAGATGGCAAGACCCCCTCCTTTCCTCTTACCGCTCTGAATTCCTCTGTCTGCCCTCATCATTGTGAAGCCAGGTAACTTCAACACACTGTCCAGTATATCTCCATTCAGCCATCTCTCTGTGAAACACATCAAGCAGCTTTCATGTAATTCCCGCTGGCTGTACGCAAGTGTCGTGTTCTCATCCAGCTTGTTGGCCAGCAATCTCATGTTTCCCATGACAACTGATGGAAGGCAAGGTTTATACTTCATCCGGTTCCTCTGCCATCTTTCCCTTGTCTTCACACTGGCTCTTTTCCCCCACCGATGCCTCCATAACTGCGCCAGGATATCCTTCGGCAGTCGCCGGGTGTGAGCTTGATACTTCAATATCTCTTCCCTCGTATTAGAGAGATTCTCTTTGCACACACAGATTGACACAATCGTCCACAGCACAGAACTGGATTAATACCCACAACAACAAGACAAGTTAGACACAAGACGCTGCTGCAACAGGCTGCCTCTTGCCAGGCACCATGACAGTCCCAAAAATTTTGAACATCACTCGTCTGAACATGGACCACAAAAAAAATGCTTGAAAGTCTGGCTTCATTTTGATTTGAAAGAGGGTATTTTTCCCTTTTTTTTGGTCTATCAGCAGACAGTGCATGCGTGTGTCACATCAGTGGCTTTGCTTAGGATTGAGGAGCAGAGCGAAAGAGAGCACTGATGCGCTGCATGGTTTTTAATGAATAAATACACAAAGTGGAACTCCGCCTCTCAGAGTGTTTTTCCAATTGAGCCATTTAACGTGTATGGTAATTACAATGGTCTGTGATGGGAAGATAAAGTACACACTACACAAACTCAAAACTATGTAAGCCTGTTTCTGCCAGTGATTAAAAAAACCTGCCTTCCATACAAAACCCTGGACATTTGAGACAGGTCGAACACACCCACAAAAGAGGACATGTCCGGGTAAAGGAGGACGTTATGGTCACCTTATTAAACACCTCCGGATTCATGGAGAAGAAATAACTGAGTGCCCTGTCTTTGGCGCGCTGCGCAGGTCTCCCTCTAACCAGTCAGAATCAAATAAGTTAAACAATAAGTTACATCTGTCCCCTGCTAACATTGAAGCGGTAAATGAATAGTACTGTATACGATGAGTCAACTTAAATATCCAACTAACATTAGTATTATTTTTCATAGACAAACAATCTGGCAACAAAGATTAATATGAATATACTGGTTGAAAATAGCACTGTGTGAAATTTAGAGTAAAGTTAATAAAAAAGTTTATATCATTTAAAAATTCACGGAGGAGTTCAGACATTACACCCAGAAAGAACTCTGGTTAGCACCCTTATTTAAACCATGCATTTTTTTTTATCATGCCTTTTAAAATAATTGAAATAGAGAATCAGAATTGGAACCAGAACCAGAATTGTTATCCCAACCCGACTGAAAACTCTTCATGATCTGTAGAGGAAGATCATCAGTGGAAAGACTGTTTTTTTTTTTTCTTCCAAACTGAACTGAAGCGCCTGTGTTCAGGGTATCTGTAAAAAGGCCCAGTGGATCTTCCTCGTTAACCCTCAAGAGTCTTCATCAGGAGCTCTGCTGATTCATTTTCACTGTAAGTAACAAGCAGAGGGAGGTTTTTGTTCTTCAAGCAATAACTATTTGTCTTCACAGCTGACACTGGAGCAGGATCCAATCTTTACTTTCAGTGGAAGTGTTGTTTTAGACAGACAAACTCCACAAGCAGCACTGGTTATGGACACGACTTAATGTTTTATTCAATGATTCTGCTCTTTGAATACTTAAGAGTTAAACCATGTACATATTTGCTTTATTCAGACATCTACTGGGACACCAAGGCTCACATCAGGACACTGGGGCTGTGACAGGTGACATTGGAGTGGTACATGTGGTCAACTTTTGAGAGATAAGTTACCGTTATATGTTTACAAAGTTTATTTTGTGTTTTTTTATTTTGATTTATCTGACGTAGCTAGGAGACGATACATGAGTTCGTTACTCTGCATCCCGAAAAAAGCTGGCATTAAGCATCAAGGGTCAACACAACAACAAAACTCCACACAGGGCCTTGAACCAGTTTGACAAAACAATCATACAACTCAATTCAGTCCAGTAAAGTCCAAAAAGACTGTTCAAAAATTGATAGATGGAATGACTTAAGCTCCAGGGACAGAATCTAAGTCTGTAAAATTAAGGACTTTCAAAAAGCTTTTAATCCACATTAAACAAACACAAAATTACTTAAAAATAGATGAATAGATAAATAAAAATAAAGCTCATGTGAAGTTTTTTTTTTGCCTCTTTGTAAAATTGACTGAATTTGACACTGATTCTATTTTATGACCTCTAAAAGCAAAGTAGACATTTAGGAAAAAGACTCATTGTTCCTGTTTTGGGTGGATATAACTTAGCATCATTTTTCTTACAGGCAGCAGCAGCAGCTCCAACCCCCAACCTCTTTGTGGTCTTTCAAAAGCTGAGCTCAGACTGCAGTGTAATCAAAGTCTTGTATTTGTGCTATATGTGGAAAGCCCCATCTGAGGTTTGAATCCAGAGTCACTTCAAAAAAAGGCAGCAGTGCAAACATCTTTTATGTCCCAGACTTTGAAGTACATACTTGTAGCTCATAATCCTTGTTCACTGTCCAGTGGGACTCTCTGAGCCGGCTTGTCGTGAGGCATCACTACCAAGAATTGCAGTACTTAACATTTTAGGTCTTTTAAGTATATTGTTGTTGTTCAAAATCATGGTCCAGATTGTGGTAGGGGAGAAGGCAGACACCTCGGCAAATAAGAA